AGGGTAGGTAACGTAAACTAAAAAAACTAAAAAAAAAAATTAAACTACGTTTCGGGTTTTTTGGGTTCGTCGGGCCGGCCGTCCTTCGTACTTATTAGTAACTATGTATATATATATATATATATATATATATATATAAGGATAATACAAAAGATGGGTCGGTTCAGACCCAGACCCATGTCGGGTCGACATGATAGGCCGGCACGTCGATGCCACCCGATTCCCAGCCCTATACAAAATAGACACACATGCCTTGGAATGTGGAAATGCATCTTACAAAATCGACATGTGTGCCTTGTTTGTCCAATCTGTGGACTTGCGTGCCCACATAGCAGACAAGCATTTCCCATGCATGTATGTATTGCATGTTGACATGCATGTCAAGCGTGTTGGCTTGTCAGATTCTCCTAAACACATGACATGCATGTCGTTCTACATAGTTTATCACGCATAAAGCTCAGAAGAGCATTATATCATGGAGAAGTAGGGTGCCCACCCCTAGAGATAGGGAGCTAGGGAAGACAAACTGTATTCTTCACTGATAGTTTTTTAAGTCTAATGAGAATTGAGATGATCAATAAAAAAACATTCTCATCAGAATGAACTTCATCTATCATAGTTTACATACTACTTGATCTAGAATCAAAGGACAGCAACGCACAACTTGTTGACTGATTGGCTCAAGCAATATGGTGAGTTCCTTAAACTACAAACTATAGGGTTCTGACTGCTCCAAACACTCATCAAGTCTTCACAAATTCAAAATTCTAGCGGAACTGATTAGAATCAAATGTTTTCATATTAGATGTTACATATGATATACTTCCATCCTAAAATCAAATCAAGAAACCTGTAATTACAAATTATATGCATGCAGACATTAATCCTCTTAGAAACATAAATGCATATAGGCTATATAAATTCGGTTACATGAAGTGTTTACTAAATAGGATTTACAAATTTTAAAAGCATATTCCATCTTCCATTTCTCCATTTATGGTAAGATACAAAAAACAATAACCAAACTGAGATTGGTAACTGGGTCAAAACTGAAGCCCGTGACACTTTTGCAAAGGGAAGTGACGATTTGCTCAGGACCTGAGCTTATCATTCCTTTACAATATTCGGTTGTCACCTTTAGATTATGAATTGAGTTCCCTGATAGATCATCCAGAGATAGATGGCGATCACAAAATTATTAATAGATCTTTGCGAAAGCTCAAAAACAATGAAACTTGAAGCATATACTCGATACTCACAATTGTGAGAACACAAGCTCAAGCAGTAGTGACTTAATAAGCACCTCACTACCTATCAAAGTTAAAAGCAAAAGCAACAAACCTTATGTTTAGACTTCAGAGGAAATCCAATTACATCAGCACAGGATGTTTTTTTGTGGTAACTAGATTGCATTAATTATATCAGATGAAAGCATAAAAAAAAAAAAGAAGAAAAAAACAAAGGGATGGTTTTGGGGTTGTGTACGGTAAATTTGGCATTCTCAGAGCTCTGCATGCATAAACTCCAACCATATATTGAAATGTACTAGATCATTCATGCGGCCAATTTTTCATACCAAGACAACCAAAAGTATAACCAAATAACCCAAGGTTTAAATGTAGCAAAACAGTAATTTAATGACTTCTCAAATAACAATGCACATGCTCTCCAGATGAGGCACATTGTAAGGTGTGAAAGCAAAATAGGTCTCTCTCTCTCTCTCTTCATATGACGATATGACACTGCAAGAAAATCCATGACACTACTAGAAAATCCACCATCTCCGATTGAATATTTCTTGCTCAACAACAAAGGTCAAAGGTCAAAGGTTTGTAAGAATTCAATATAAAGACCTCCACAACTTGGTTTAGCTATTTGAGTCTGATAGTGTGGTCTACAGGCGAGACAGAGATCTAAAGAAAATATTAATGCCTACTTCACCATACAAGCCAAGAGTAAACAGGTGAAAAATCCAAGAGAATAATAATTTCAGAACAAACAAACTTTGGAGGAAAGGTAATAGAATTTAAGAGTAAAAACTAGAACCAATATAAATATAATTCAAAACTGTACCTCTTCCAGCTGCTAAAAAGAAAAATTAAGAGACTAAGTTCATTAGGTTCAAGAGAAAAGCCAAACAAAAGATAGCTCAAAGACTCAAATCATTCTTACAGCTGGCTTGGCCCTTCTACGAGTAAGAGGAAAAAGGCGAGTCCCTGCTCCACCACCCAGTATTATAGAAGCAACACTATTAGGGTTTGCTTGTGGACTGGCAGTTGGCTCCTGGATAGCCTGCAATCCAAGTTTAAAGCAGAGGGGAGTCCACTAAGATGTATTATATGAAAATAGGGAACAAGAAAACCAGAGAACAGCTGCACTCATATAACCAAATTTTGACAAGTTACATCGTAATTAACAAGGATCGGCTAAAAGAAGGGAAGATAATTTAAATATGGAAGCCAACATAGAAGAAAAGCAGTCACTTGCCAGCTGGGTCTTGAACAAGAGCCATGGTCAGACAGCTACACGAGTTCAAAACAATATTTAACTGTATGAAACTTGGAAAACCGATGACAATTTTGCATCTAAATCCTAAAAATCCACATACAACAAGGAAGATGCTTGCAAAGTGAAGTCATACCATCAATTCTTTCTCCACATCCGCAAGAATACAGCTTGTGACTGCAATTTTGGGTAGTTGCTTCTTCACATTCTCAACCTGTGCGTTTATCTTAGCACCAAGGAATTGATTTTTCATAGTTTTATTGAATACTTTACTCCCAAAAAATTCAGGACCTCGAACCGGGTCTCTATCACTTGATGTCTGAGCTGTTGAAAATAAATCCAAGGACCTCAAAATTCCTTGCATCTGCAATCCTCCAGCCATGGCTCCTCCTTGATAGCAACAACAAGAAGACGCAAAACTCATCAGAATCATACCATGTAACAATGCATTAGTACTGCTTATTGAAATTCACCCAAATAAAAAATCAAACACCAACCCAAATAAAACAAGTTTAATTTCTACCAAAACCAAGTTTCTATCAAATATACCCAGTATACAGAGAGAAAAAGCGTCAGAAACCAACAGAGCCGATCAATCTTGTTGAAAAAGCCTTTTGCTGACGTGATCCTCCATGGTCACTTCAAGAAAAGAATATCAATCATAATTGAAAAAAAATCCAGATATTACATATAATAATTTTAGTCGGTCTCTCCCATATGATCTCATAAACAAATTTCTCACCGATTGTGGCTTGAGATGCGGTAATTTCTTGTTATTTAAAATTTGAAATAAAAAAAATCCAATAAAATTGAAGCCTTTATAGGACCAAATTTGCAGAGTCAACGAAACGATTGAAACTAACCTAGATTTACTCAATATCTCAGATTTTCACGGTTTAGTCTCGTATCCATGACCACCTCACCTAATAAGTTAATTTAAATGTTATATTTTAAATTGAGCAATTCGAGAATAATCGTTTTATACCCGCGTAGAGAAGCCGAAGTGCCCCATTTTATAATTAGGGTGTAACAAATAAATTTTAGTAAAGTTGACAGCTACTCAAACACTCTTTAAGCTACCTGAAAATGTTCAGAATGGAGTTGCCCCAAGAGAGAGCAAAGAATTGGCCCCTTCTTTCTTCTTAGGAATCCTGTGCTAGCAAGCTTAATCCTAAAGCTAATTGGCAGATTACAAACCCTAATTTATCTGACCTCCTTTTTTTTTTTGGGGACCCTAAATATGCAGGCACGAATCTCAAAAGAACCTTCGAAAGTTTGTGAGATCTTCTTCTACCTGAAATGCAAAAAGTAAGTATCAAAAGGTAAGCTTCAAAGTTATGTGTCATTGTTATGAATGAATCGTGAGAAAGGCGACTTTTAAAATTTTGTTAGCAAAAATCAATAGGAAAAATATGTAATTTTGGTAGCAAAAATCAATAGGAAAAAGATGCTACTTCACTTGCACCAATGCATCCAATTGGTGTTAAAACACTTTAGCAGTGGCCTCTGCCGTAAAACTCTGTGAAAGCTTTTGAAAAATGCAGATCTATCAATAAAAATGGCAGAAATAAGTTTTTAATGTCTTCCTTTCCCTTATTTCGATATAAACACTTTTACTAGTTTTCAATTAAGTTTTTGTAGGAAAAAAACCGCTTCCAAACTAATTTTTACAGATGCAGCTGAGGATACTTGTTTCAGACGGTAAGAATCCGCCATTAACTTACCTTATGATGCAGTAACGAAGTACTATATTTCTCTGAAATCACGTGAAACTCTTTGATCTGTACCGTATCAATCAAGGAAGATCTCATTTCCTTAAATATTAGATGTTCATTTCACCTGATTCAGAGTAGAAGTATAGAACTTTCTCCATAATACAAACTTCATATAGGAAAATGATGATGGAATCGAATACCATAGAAAACAGCAAATCAATACCAACCAACTAAAAAGAAAAAAAGGAAAATCGAATCAACTCCGTAATGGCCTGAGATTAACCAAAACTAACTCAAGGACTTGTTATGATTGTACAAAATTGCAGAAGAACTTGTTCAAAACTCTTTTGAAATTTGTCTAAAATAAAATTTCCTCCATAAAAGCCCCCAAAATTTATGTATAAATCTAACTCCAAAAAGGAAAAAAAAAGAAGAAAAGAATCCAACACTCTGTGCTGATTTCCAAGGCCTAAAATTACAAACTCTATAAAAGATCTAAGAAAACCTGCGAAAAAAATGATTCTTAAATTTTGTCTAGTTTGGCTTTTGATCTCAAATTTGCTTCCTTCTTTGAATATACAGCACATCTCCACTGAACCTCTCGTTTCGGCCAAGTTAGGGCCGAATGAGCCTTCATTGTTGTTTTTTCATGTCTTCAGGCAAAAATCTCTGAAAGAGACCTTACAAGCAAATACACCGCAATACATTACCTTACCTGTGCAATATTTGACTGTAACTCCTATATCATCAGAATGAAATGTTGCAGTTCTTCAAAAAAAAAAAAAAAAGAAAAAATCCTATATCCGTGGAAGTTGTTGCAACCCATTTAAAACTATAGGCCCCAGAAAGGGATCTTTACCAGCTTTTTGTCAAGCACACACTCTCTATACAATCTCTCTCTCAACTCTTTCCCTCTGTTATTCATAAAGTACTTCAAAAACCGCCATGAAATAGCTCGAAGCAGTGATTTAGTGACTGAAAAGAGAAGATTAGCAGCTGCTTATACTCTCATTTCACCAGGAATATGTCGCTTTCCTTTTTATTTGGAGACCTGTGAAAAACCTATTGATTCCTTATTTAAAAGCCAAAGCCTTTGTGCTTTGTAGTTTCTCTCAGCTCTGTACACAGACATTACTGTGGTTTAGACTTTAGACTCCAGTGTGATCCACATCCACATGTTACATTTAACAGCGCGGTGATCGACACGAAATGTTTCAGAGGCCGTCTCTAATCTGTTCCGTCCCTTAGATCCCAGGACTTAGATCCAACGGCCTGGGTTACCTAATAACTAGTCGATTCCACCTCGTAAAAAAGCTGAGATATTGGGGGAAATTACTCCGTTAAAGGTTTTGGAGGTCCTGCATGATCACAGTTTATTCCCTTTTTTATAGGATTCTATACTACGATACCATTTACTTTTTGAATAAATGTCACGTGAGTAAGCGGATTCACTAGCCCGCTAACTCATAATCATCCATCTTTAAAATGAACTTCTACAACTAAATATTCCTATCTAATGAATTAGACAAAATTTTAAAAAATATTTTTTTAAATTTTATTTTATTGTATACATTCTCTACAAATTTAGATCCCAAATCTATATAAAAAATGGTGGCAGCACATAATAGTATAGGGTACTCATAAAGAATGATACCATTTATTTTTTGTACAAAGAGGTCACAATAACTTTAGCTATTGGACATAAAAAATACATTTTATTTAGAATGTATATCTAATCAACGAAATTTCAAATCTGATCAATGATTGTAACTCTTTGTAACAAAAATAAATAGTCGCATTCTATACATTTCTATTTTTTAATATAAGATATGGTTTTTATTAAGATTGAGCTTTATGAAAGCAAAGTTAAACCTCAGCCTTAATTTTCATCTGGAAAGTACTTTGGCATTGAAAATTTCCTTGATGGCTCTAAAATCAATTCCCATCACCGATTGTGAAATTTGAAGCAAAAAAATGGTACAGATCTTGATGATCTATTAATACTTGCTTTTAAGATGAAATTGGTGGTTTAAATAATACCTTGCAATATAAACTAATTTACAGCTTGAAATCCTAATTTTTTTCACAACAATATTGGACAAGACCGAGATGATCGATTTGATGGGGTACAAAAAACAAAAAAAACTTTCGAAATATATGGATATAAAAAATAATAATTTCAAATTCTAAAAATAACGCATTATGTAACAAATTTTCTAGATCATCTATTTTTAATATTTCCAAGTATTTATAAATATGCTCGATATGTACCTTTTAATAAAATAAACTTTATAATTAAGGATGAAAATAATTTTCAAAGCCAAAGGTTTCCGACACTCAAAGTACGTCTCCGATCCTCCTTACTTCTGCAATATAAAGAGTGGGACTTCTTCAAACCTCACCTTTATCAAATTACTCGTTAAAAATGATCGATTCAACAATATTTTTGAACTATGAAAAAAACACATACTATTGAGTTGGAATAGTTGCGAATGGGTAAGATTTCTAATAATTCATCTCTTATGGGTACTTTAATAAGGTGCAATTTGTATACAATCAAGGCTCTAAACAATCAAAATAAGGTGTACCTTCAATTAGTGTTGAGAAATGTGGTTTCAATACTAGAAATCTTTGTGATAGCCTTAAAATATATTTTCATCGCTAAATATAAAATTTCAAGCTTCAAAAATTGTGTAGATCGAGCATACCTATGAAAACTTGAAAATATTAAAAATCAACAGTCCAAAAATGTACTACAAGATGCGCTATTTCTAAAACTTGAAATCCATTTTTGT